TGTGTTGTTTGATACAAAACGATTGTTTTGAGAGTTATTTCCAAGGAGAATTGCAGTATGCGGAGTTTTCTTTAACAAGATTTATTGAGGCGAAAGGGCTGGGCCTGCCCGCTGAACTAACCCCCATGTAGAATTAATTTATTTCCATGTTTATAAGGGCTGACACGTTCTGATTTTCTTTCTAACTTCGCTCTATTCCTCCAACCAGGTCACAAATCTTTTTACTGGTAACGGAGTAGCTTGTAGCTGGTGGTTATTTACGCAGCAGTCTCCTGAATCTTTATTAGTCTGGGAGCCCACCTTTACAAGCTATAGGTATTCTTAACACAAGAAATAGCTGCTATCATTCTGTTGACATGTGGAGTTTCACAGTGCTGGAAGGTCTTTTCTGCAGAAAATGTACAAAAGAAGTACAGGATCTGTAGAGAAGAAAGGAGGAGGAAGAGGTAGGGTCATAATGGTTACCTGGTCACCTGGATAATAAAAACAATAAAATGATGCAGTCCAGACTACTTTAGGCTAAATCAGACAAACTTAATAGAAGTTTGATTTGCAAAGAGAGCCAAACTTCACACTCGCACCCTCAGCTTCTTTTGGACTTAGTAGCTGCTGTAGCTTCTGATTTTGGCCCATGGCTGGTTCTGGAGAACCATCTGGGAAAAGACTGGGATCTCTGTTCACCACTTCAGTTCCTTTTTGACAGAAAATGCCAAGGATTGACCATGGCCCTCCTCACCTACAAAACATGTCTTCCTTCCTGAAGGTGTCGTTTTGTAAAATGGGTTTGTCAAGATGCCTTGAAGTTCAGACTACATGGGGCAGAGAGTGTGTGCTGTTTTTTACCAATTTGCAGTGATCAGGAACTTCGTCAGATCGTAGTGTTATAGCCAGCTGACCGTGGGGTATGCGTTCATGTATTAATACATTGGCAGTTCTGGAGGGGTTTAAGGAAAGGGTGGATGACCACTTCTCAAGGATGACTTACTTGAGTTTTCCTGCGCATCAAGTTTGATGTTCCTTGTGGTTCCTCTCAATGCTGCAGTTCTGTGCTTCTGTGAATCAATGTTTAAATTTACATTCAAGGAGGTGGCGTTTGAAGAGAAGGTAGGACTCCCTCAATTCCCACCGTTTCACTTCACCACTGGTCCAATGATCGAGCTGCCTTGCACTCCAGATGGAATAAACTCTCCAGTGCAGTGTTTCTCAACCTCAGCAACTTGAAGATGGGTGGATGTCAACTCCCAGAATTCCCCGAATGCTGTCTGGGGAATTCTGGGAGTTGAAGTCCACCCATCTTCAAGTTGCTGAGGTTGAGAAACACTGCTCTAGTGGATGTCGACCAACCCACGCAGGGTTGAATTTTGGATGCCAGCCTAGGAGAACGTTGAAGGATGGCCTTTGCGTGGTGTACCATTTCATTTTCCTTCATGGCCTTGATTCAAAACCTGGCCTAGGGCTCCCTCCCCTCGGCTGCGTCAGGGTGTAACTGGAGGGGCGCTGGCTGTGGATTTCCGGTCTTCCTGTTAAATCAGTCCTGGCGAGATACCGTGTTTTCTGTCTCGTTGACTGAGGTTAACGGGATGTCCTTCTGTATACAGTCTATAGCACAGAACCGGCAAAAGAACAGGCAGCATTTGATCAAACAGGGGGACTGCAGTGTTATCTTGCCTCCTCGGTCCTTGCTATCTGTCTGTCCCAGGCCCTTAACCAACCTACAGCTTAACTTTTCCCTCCTTTTTTGGAGAACTTCCAGCCCATAGGGCCTCTTTCCCTTGATAAGGGAGCGTTAATGGACCCAACAACATCAAAGCGTTCTTTCTGGTAACATGATTAATCAGCTTCATTTTCTTGGAGGGGTGTCTCAGCTTCTCCTCGCTGCAGCCATTACAAAACAGCAGGGCTGATAGAAAAGCCCAATCTGTGTCCCCCACACAACAACCATTAAGAGTGAGAAATTGGATCTCCACAAGGTTCTTCCAGACGTTAATGGTTTTTCTTCTGCAAGGGCCTTATTAGAGAAATGTTGCCTTGGTGGTCATGAGTTTGGGTATTGCTCCCCGTGGCAACCCAAGAACTGAGCCTGATCTTCTAAAAGTACTTTTGGCAATCTTTCCAGAACCTGTTTTTTTTTTTTTAAAAAAAAGAAGAATCAAAAACAACGAATGAAGGTTTTTTAAAACCGTGGAGAATCCAAGAAGCCCAGCCCCCTCCACCTCCAGAAAGGGAAACCTCTAAAGATGGAAGGAAGTTCCTTGGAAGAAACCCGATAGGCACGACTGAGAATTATCAGAGCCCCAAGTCAGCAAAGGAAGAGCAGGAAGTTTTGGCTGTGATCTAGACATCTCCTGAAAGTCATCAAACGCCAAACTTTTTTAGCTTGATCAAATCGTCTGTGAGGAAGGAAGTTACACAATTGCACTTCCTCTCTATTTTTTTTCCCCAGAGAACTCAATTTTGGAAGGCCTCGAGAGGACTCCAAAGGAGGGCGTTGTTGGACAAGACCATGGAAATTACATTTCCCCAAACTTTTCAGGGCCAGCAAAGACGACTCCTTCCTCTTTGGAGCAGGCCTATAGTAGTAGGATGGGAGGACTCTGTCCACATCTGGTTGGACAACAGCAGGGGAGAATATATCCCATTGAAAAAACACTACCCAGTGAGAAGATTGGACCTGGAGAAGATCTAGCTACGTGGTTGCTGAGAGTCAACACTGACTTGATGGCGCATAATCAATTAACTGGGCATAAGCAAGCCTCTTGACGACGACGATGATGATGATTATGATGGAGAAAACTGAACAGTTGATCTTGGTAAAAGCCAGTCCCATAAATCACAGAGGTTTAACACCATCAGATACATATTTCTTGTGTTAAAAAGCAAGTGAGAGAGCAGCTTCTTGTGAAATCTAGAGTTTCATCCTGTGTATTTGTTATTCCAGCATCTTTTTTATTTCTCTAAAGCCAACTCCAAAAGTATCAATGTCATCTTCCAGCATCCAGCTCGATTAAAATGTCAGCCCTCCTCTCATATGAGCCCCATCGTGATCTGAGGTCTTCTGAGGTCTCCTTGCTCAAGTGGGCATCCTGCAATCTCTCTCTCTTCTCTCCATCCTCATGACAAAGAAAACATGGGAAAGATCTGAACAGATTTCCTGGATTTCTTCTGCGCTACAAGAACGTTGTTCCCAAGAGTTAGACTTCAGATCAAGCTGTATCAGTAGAAATTTGGGTGGGGCGTGTTTGATTTGCATGTTTTCCAAATGTTTGGAGACGGATGGAGGAATGGATTTGAAAATATTACGCTCGGTTGCATTTCGCTTTGCTTCCCTTCCCTGGGAATGTGAGTCAATAATTATGTTTCTGATGATCCCTTGAAATATCTTTATGTGTTTTATAGTACCCCGGAGATAAAGATACCTTTATAACTTTATCTCAGTGCTACTTTGCAATGTCAGGTAGCTTCTAAACCTCTTTAGGGAACCACCTGCTAAATTTTGCACTGCAATCCTTTGAGTTGGCACCATATAGCATGAAAACCATATGACTATCACCCCGTTTAAAATCTGACCATCCTCCAAATAAAATCAAAAATGTAAACCCTGCCCATCTGTACCCACCCTGCATCGTGTCCCACCCACTTTCTCTCCCAGCCATCAAAGCTTGCTTCTTTCTACATATACAATTGATTTTGCATCTCAAAATGAGCAAGATGGCTTAGGAGACCAAACCGGAGAAGTACTTTGGTGCAATATTTTCTCTTTATCTTCTGTCCCACAGAAGTGGTTTCAGTTTAAGATGATTGATACAGAACTGCTGTTGCACAAATGCGTTCGTTTGCCTTGGTTATTTAGGGGTGGGGTGTATCGATCAATCAATTATTTTGAGTGTCACTGGCTTGCCTGGCCTTTGCAGAGAGAAGGGGATGTGCCCCAAGGTGCTTACAATCAAGGTGCAAAGCTGAAGAGGTAATGGGAGGTGGAACAGGTTTCAGATTGCTCTTTGGGAACTGAGGAACTGAAATCTAAAGAAAGCAAAGTGTATGTCTTGGGGGATGGCAGATAGGGAATATCGACAGCGATCTTTCAGATGTGGATAAATTGATTTGTTTCTCCAGAATTAGGAGGAGGGGAAAGGGGAGGAGAAATTTAAGGATCCTGTGATCCCGTGTTCTCTGGCTTGGAGGCCCAGCATGCCACCTCCTTGCTAAAAGTAAGTGGTCTTGGATGGCAGAGGGGGTGGGCATCTGCCTTGAGGGGGATTGTGGAAGGAAGGTGGGTGAGAAACCACAGCCAAACCTGCGTTTGATGCTTTCAAGGGGCTGTTGCGATGAGGGATAAACGCGACAGGTGATTCCCGCAGTTGGTTTTTTTGAACGTATTGAGTTGGGTGAAGATGGTTCCACGGATAACCTGCAATAGCAAACTCACATTTCAGCTGTGACGCTATAATGGGGAACGCTGGGTGGATGGAAAGAGAAATTGAGGTGAAGCTAATTGAGAAAAGGCAAGGGGGGGCGGAGAGAGGGAGATAGCGAGCGAAAAAAGAAATATTAAAGTAACAAAAAGCCAAACCCAGGCCAAAAGGATGGAAATGAGACTCCTTTTCTTCAGGTATGCATTTATACAAATCTCTGTCATTTAGGTTTTAAATGTTGGGCTGAGCGTAGATGGTACCGAATCGTGTTCTCCAGTAGCGCCTCTTTGTTGAAGGAAATTCCATTCAATTCAAGGGAATTCCATTCAAGGGATTCAAATGCGGGGAATTGAATACCCTACGGTTGTGGCATTGTGCAGGCCTCACAATAGACCTATTCAGTTTGTGTGGGTACGGTTTCCTTTCTGTACTCATTCTTCAGTTGCGTTTTTCCGGGAAAGGTTTCTTTAAAAGGATGGTACGGTTGTTCTCAGTGGCGGGAGGACGGAAGAGCAGTGACTGGTTTCCTGAGTGGGAAAATGATCTCCTTTCTCCTTCTTTCTCCCTGTTCTTATTCCTCTCCCCCAGAAGCGCTTCAAAGGCCCGTCGCCTCTGAATTCGAGCCCCAGAGTCTAAGCGAAGCTGCTCGCTGGAATTCCAAAGAAAATCTCCTTTCTGCTCCCGGCGAAAATGATCCAAATCTTTTTGTGGCCTTATATGATTTCGTAGCGAGTGGTGACAACACTCTCAGCATAACTAAAGGTAAGAGGTGGGAGGAACAAGTCTACAAAATGGGAAGAAGGAAGGAAGGAAGGAAGGAAGGAAGGAAGGAAGGAAGGAAGGAAGGAAGG